TGCATACATATAAATTATTATTAAATAGAATACTATACTAATATAAACTAGATAATTTATCTAATTATGCAATATTAATATTTTGGACCCTCATGGAAAAGATTTTAAATACAGTATTTCTTACAAAGTGCTCGTGTTTTTACCTTAACTGACATTGAAGCCAATACCCTCTTTCTTTCAACTCTATAAACAATATGCCAGAATCATTTTCCTCTTCTTGTGCACACAAGAGAAAAAAATGAAGCATGTGTTAGCTACATGGTTGCCTACCTCAGTGCAGTTCTGAGTTTACTGGAAAGCAAGCATATGAAAGGCTGGGAACAGTTGTACTGCGCAGACAGTGCATGAAAAGGACTGGCCGACACAGTGTGATTCAGGAGCTGGTGCCCACTAACAGCCTTAAGTGAATGTGGAGTGGATGAAACAGACCAGAGTCCTTGCCCCGCAGTAAGCAGCTTACACGCTTTTTGAAACACCACAACAGACGGCTCTTTTGTTACAAATGATGAAAGGTTGTCACTTTAATAGCAGTAAAATGTTACTTCTTAAAAATACTGAAACAAATTCTGATTTTTTTTAAACTTCTATGTAAGCATGTTTATGTTAGAACTGATTACGCTTATATATGTAAAACACGGAAGGAAATCAACAAATTGGCAATTTGCCTAAAATATATTTTACTTTAACCATTTAAATTTCCAGTTTAAAACAGTCTGCACACACATGCAAGAAAACAAGAAGAGAATTCAGAAAAACAGACCACTTACTTGGAAATTTACATGTATGCTGAAAATCAGGGAAAAGAAATGAAACTTCTGTATACATGCTTTGTATAATGATATTCTAAAGAACACGCCAGATAATATAGTTATGTGTACAAAATTATTTTAAAATTCCTAAATGCATTGTTATTTCTTATGAATATAGATTTCTAAATATAAATACTAAATTTGAATACATAATTTGCACATGTTATCTATGTTTTTGCAAACCCTTACCATGTGTAAACCCTATAAGGGAGAGTATTTTATTACACTATTTTTATCAATAATAGAGAAATAACAGCAAGGTTTCTTTGAAGAAACAGTGGAAAATGTTTCATCCTTTCCAAAGTGAACACCTTGCTTTGGATTCTGGTTTTATTTATGGTTAAATTAAAATTAAATTAGCAAAAGCAATTAAAATAATAAAGGCACATTTTATCTCCTTGTTACAAACCATAATCAGCTTAGAATTTTGTATAATTCTAAAAAAATTTTTGGTACCCATTTCCATCAGCCTAATGCTCATTCAAACTTCAATCCCCAGAGCTACATATATAGCAATGTATAAATATTAATAAACTTAACATCATATTATTACATATATGGTAAAATATATCTACTGTTGCATATTTTAAACATACACCTGTGGAATAATAAATGTCATGTTCTTAAGATGATGAGAACAAATTAAAGATCTAATATAGTGATGTATTATTGTTCATAGTTTTCAGGCTTTATTTTATATTTAATAGTTTATATCATATTTTATCATAAGACACATTTTCTTGTATACATAGTATGTGAATAGAAATTGGTAAGCTCAAATGAAAATGATTATGTCACTTCTAACACATAGTAAAGATATCCAATCCAATGTCATATCCATTCCAATGACATTTAAAAAAGTTCTTTTCTGCAGCTTTTAAATTAAGATTTGTCTGGTAACAGAAAATATACATCTCTCTTTCTTAAATATTTAAACCCCCAGGTACTATCTTATAAGATGTTGCTTATTTCAGGTATATCCTTACTAATATATTTATCCCATTATACCAATATTCTCCATATATCAATGTTCTCCCAGCCAATTATACTAATTGGCATTTTGATATGACTAAGATAAAAGTTTAACATGAAGAGCAGTCATAACTACAATGTTTAAAAAAACTGGATTTGTAAAAAGATTCTACAATTAAGAGAGACAGGTTTAAATTAACATTACAATAATGGCTACCATACATATTACCCTGAGTTTTAAAATAGTAGAGTTTCACATGTTGAGTCAAGAAATTATTTCTAGAACAAGTTGAGAGCTTCCTTTTTGCAAATGTGTCTTAAACTAGCAATATAACATGTTGCATACTATAACATGAAAATTATGTATTTTTTATTTACATATAAACTAATATGCATTAGGTGATTGCTACCATATGGTATATTTATGTTTCACACTGTATTGAAGACAGTCATTTCCACAAGAAAAACCTAACCTAGCAAAGAACTGTATCAATTCCTTTGTCTGAAGGAACCCATTATTTTAGTATTAACACTCAGAACAGTTTACTACTTTAGTCAGAAGACTATGCTATGAGAATGTATGAGAAAGGAGAGAGTAGAAAATTAAAGATATTAAGAATTATATATATTTTTTGTATTATTATTATAAAACTTAAGCCCTTAATATTATAAACACACTAAAGAAAAAAACCTGTATTACTAACTCTAATTCAGGTCCCACTCCAGTCAGTGCATAATTTTATAGCATGTTGATGGCATCATCTTCTTTTGATAATCAAAACTTACCTTTTCTCTGAAAAGTAAAATTGTCGAAACACAAAATAATTTACTAATGATTTCCAAAGAAATTTATACATAGAAGCATAGTAACATGCCTTTAGTGAATGCTATATATCTTTGTACAGTTTTTATAAACCGGGTATTTTTCCCAAAGATTTGAGATTTATCCTGATGATCTCAACACTCCATATGAATTATTTTCTTGCAAGAAAAGCAAATGGCATCACATCTTGCTGAAAATAACACTGCATTTTTAAAGATTTTATAAAATTTATTCAGAAATCTAACATGAAGTACAGATGTCAACTATTATTCTTCCTCTCCTCCGAAGATGGTGTTACTAACTTTACAAATAAATAATTAAAGATGCAGAAGTCTTACAAAAATATTGTTAATATTATCTATAGGAGGCTGACTTAGAGCTACAAAACCTTTCCTTAAGCTTTTGTTTCATGAAATAATGTTTCATATATTTTGAAGACATTAAATTCCCATTGATAAAAAAATAAATTTCAAATCCTTTCAAAGAAAAGAAATTGTTGTTTCCTAATTCCTATTATGCCCACTATTTATTTTCTTTATTGTCTCTAGTAAATTTCTGACCATAAAAAATGGGTTATTTTAGTTTTAGAACATCATTTATTGCCGCTGTCCTTACAATAAGGATTTTTACATTAATATTTTTACCATGATATGTTCAAGAATAAAAGGTGGTATTTTGTTGGAGTTTAAAGCCATAGTTTTCACCAAAGGTGTGATGATGCATTCCCTCAAATGACAGAAATATTGATAAATTGTCAGTTAAAAATAAGACTTTAAAATTGTATAAACTAAACACACAGACTCCCTTTTAAAGAGCCACTTCTTTATTTGACACAAAATGCAAGTGGGCCACTTGAGGTCTTGCTGTATAGGCCAAGCTAAAAAATAAATAAATAAATAAATAAATAAAAGTGTAATTTTTTAATAAGAGTAAATAATTTTGAAGCATCTTTAGGGTAATTCTTACTCCTCTTATGTTTCAAAATATCCGCTTGGAACATGCTGCCAATTAAACGAAGATCTACAGATGGCATTTACCCTTTTGCTTCATAACAAAAAAGGATCTGCAATCATTTTTATGGAAAATTATCTAAAAAGGAACATGACTGTACATCAATGACAAAAAATATAAAATACTTCCCTTCTCTGGGTTTGAATGTGCATCGAATGTCAGATGCTTGCATTGACACCTAATGTAAAAAATACTGTAAGCTGAACCTTAAATAATAGCTGCAGGGTTTCAACTGGTAAGGATTCACTGTCGGTATCCACCAAAAACTCCAGTATTCAGCACTTGGTCAACAAAAGGACAGCAAATAATTCCCAACATCCTAAATACCGGGAAGGCTACCTTGGGCTTTGTTTTTGTTATGTAAAATGCATTAAAGTGACTCATCCACTTAACGTTACCTACTCTTAGAAGCTTTAAAGTAGCTTCAAGAACTGAAATAAATGCTTTCCCAGAATGCCTGATAGGCTATTCAGCGCACTTAAAAATATGTATGTATTTTTATGTGCCACTGACTTTGATTCTTTTTCCCAGCCTAAGAGAGGAGAGAATTATTTTTCATTCCCTTCCTGCCGTGTGACTATACGGCTACCTTTAAACACTCTATTTCCAGAATAGCAGCAAGACTTTTTTTTTAAAGTTATTTTAAAAATGTTAAAAATAAGAAAAATTGCAGGGACTCTGGTAACGAACGCTCAGTCTCTTTCTCAAAAAATAGGTTCTGTTGCTTCTAAGAACAGGAACCGCGTGTCTTCAGCACTTAGATGCTCCAAATAAAAGGTTAGAGAGGTTGGAGAGCGTGGTCCCTGTACCTGCGAGACCCCTGGGTGGACGGCACTCGGCCGCGGGGAGCGGGGACACTTCTTATCAGAAAGGCTGTCAAGTGCGCCCAGCAAATTGGGACCTAAACGAGTCTGGACACGGTAGTAATTAGCGAGCATCCCGCAGGCCAAGCGCGGGAGAAGCCCAGGCTACCCTGACAAGCCTGAAATTACCTATTTGTAAAATACCACACCAAAACACAACTTTTTATTAGACTGGGTTTGATGAGAGCGGCTAACTGGCGGGAAACTTTCTTTCCTCCAGGACCTAGAAACTCTTCAAGTCCGAGATTCCTTTAAGAGACGGGCTGAGGCACTGCGAGTCGTCGGCGGACGTTCCCAGGGACGGCGCGGCCGGGGCGTGCAGCCCCTCCGACCCGCCGGTTCGGAGCACATTCCCGCGGCGAGCCGCGCGCACCTCCCGCTCGGCCTCTCCAGATCCGAGCCCTGCTCACTCCCCGCCCCCCACGGGTGGAGAAGCCCCGCGATTCGGGAACGGACTCCCGAGCCCCGCTCCAGCGGCACCCTCGGCCGGCACTCCCAGCCCTGCCCTGCCCGGCGACTTACGTGATGGCCGAAGGGAACGGCTCCTCCGACGAGGGGCGGATCAGCAAAGATTGGAAAAGTGTCAGAGTCAAGGCCAGCAGGCAGCCAGCAGCCATCTTCGCGATCGAAGATCAATCCCGCCGCCCTCCCCAGCCGGGGTAAGGAGCCGCGCTGGAGACCGCGGGAGGAGAAGGAGCACGCTCTGCCCGGACCGCAGACGTCCGGAGGGCGGGCGCGCCCGGGCCGGGGCGCAGCGGGGCTGGGGCGGGGGCGGAACGCGGCGCGGGCAAGGGGCGGCGGCGGACGGACCCTCCAGCGCCTGTCGGCTGCTCAGCGCCGCGGCTGCCTCGCCTCCGCCGCCATCAAGGGCGACTTTGGAAACCGACCTGGGCGAGCTTCCCAGCGCCCGCGCACTCTCTCACTACCTCTCTCTTCACCCCTCTCGATTTCTTCCCTGATTTATTCCCCTGATTGCCGGAGAGGAGGAGGCGGAGGCGGGGGCGGAGGAGGGGTGGCGGCACTTGGGAGGGGTGTGGGGGTGGATGTAGGAAAGGGGGGGGATGGCAGGCGGAGAGACTTGTGGCAGGGAGAGGCTCCGTCTGGCTTCTCCCGGCAAGTCGGAGGGAGGTGGCTGGGGGTGGGTAGCGGGAGGGCTGGGCGTCAGAGCAATCGGGCGGAGACGGGCCGGGAGCAGCCCTCCTTACAAGGCAGAATGGAACTCTTAAAGTCGGCGCCCGCTGGCTCCCGCCGCCCGGCGAGCGGAGGAGGAGCGGACCCAGCCCCGCGAGCTCCCGGGGGACAGCCAGCCGCCCAGCGGGCATCAGGCTGCAGCGGCTCCAGCCCAGTACTTGGCTTGCGTCTTCGGGGGTTATTTTTGCACACGCAGGCAACGTGCCCCTTTTCCCGGGCGCAGAATCCATTGCCAAGCCTGGGAATAGTGAATAAGTGATTTGACAACAAATATAGGAAGGGTTTGTATTTGCATTTTAAAGCACCGCTTTTGACTCTCAACCAGGTGGCACTATTTATTTGCCCAGCAGTGCCAGCACTAGAGCTTCTGAAGTGGCTGAATGCCAGGTGTGCCGCGGCCCCACCTCAGGTACTGTTCACCAGGTGATGACAGAGCCTCGGGGCCGGGGCCGAGGACAGTCGGAGAGGCACCTGATGCTGTAAAATCTTTCCAGTCCTGCCATTCAGGAGGACAGAGGGGTAGAGAGACGAATTCTCCATCGGGGAGGTCAGTGCTGCGAAAAGGGTTTGTACCACCCTAGTGAGACTACTTCCAGAAGGTTCCACACACCCTGCTTTGGCCACTGGTCTGCCCTGCTTTGACAAGGTTGCTGCAGGGTGAGTTCACTTTGTCAACGTGAAAGCATGAAAAGGGTAGCAATTTGAGAAAAGTGCCTGAAATGTGAAGAAATTAAGGGAATGGTAGAGGGCTAAGGAGGAGCAATGCCTAGCCAGTGTTCACCCCTCACCCCCTGGAGAAGAAGCAGGGGTAGGAAGTGCTCAGGCCTTCTCCTAGAGAGAGTAGAAGGGTCTTGGAATAGGCCTTTGCCAACTGCACAGGCCTTCTTTAGGAGAGAACTGGTGCGCCAGAAGGAGATTTCCTTGAATATCTTAAATTCGTAAGTGTATTAGAGCACTTCTGACATGCAGCGCAGAGAACATGATCCCTAATTTAGGGAGGAGGGAGGAATGACCAACCAGCATATGCATAAAAGCCATAATTATGAGATGGCTGTAAAATTTTTTAAATAGCCCTTCTTTAGTTTCAGGAGGAGCTTATGAAAGGAGAAAGACCCTTATATGTGCAGAATTGATGTTCCAGGTCTCTGAAGGCAACATCCGAAAACAGAGAGGACATACTACTACTTACTAGCAAAATATAAAAAGTGAATGATTTTAAAATTCTTGACTCAGTGATGTTTTCTTCACCCTTACCTCTCCTTTTTGGTGCCTTATTTGTTTTTATATTCTCTACCTCCCTTTATTGCTCTTTGTTTCTTTCTTCCTGCTCGGAGAGGCCTCACAAAAGGCACCCCACCGGGACTTAACTTTGTTTTATGCTAAGCATAGAGAGCGTGGCAGCAGGAGCCTGCAAACAGAGATGAAGTGGGATGTAATACGATTGAGAAATAGAGCTCAGGAAGGATATTTTATGTAACTGAAGATAGCTTTCCACTCCAAAATTAGATAACCAAATTGTCAAATCCATCATTTTTTTCCAATTTTTAATGCTGCAAAAACAGATTTTCTTCCTCAGCATGGGGATTACAAATAGAACTAGATACCCATTATTGCCTACGTGATATGTTGGTATCATAATAGCCTCACTACATAAAATTTTTTTTATAATGTATTCTGTCAATTATTTCAATAATGACCTCAGACTTCCTACTAAGGTATATCATTTCCAATTTTATATCTTTAAGAGAAAGAGCTTAAAAGATTTAAAAAAACATAATAAACTTCTAGAGAAGGTAAGTCAGCCTTTATTACTAATGGTGTTGGCCTTTGAGCCATATCTCAATTTCTTTGAATCACTCTGATGAAGCACTCTGTTCTCTAATATCCAAAGCTGGTGAAGAAAGATATTGCTTCTACAATTCTTTCTGAAAGGGTTGGTTATCAACTGTAAGCTTAAATCACTGCTTAGTGCTCTGTTGTAAGGTTTGCTATTTATTGCTTTTTATCAATCTAAACTTTTTTAATGAGGATATTCATAATGTGGCTTTTATTTCTTATGTGTGATATTTAAAACATCTACATAACATAACATGCCTATTGATTAACCATAGCCATCTACAATGCACTGTTTCATCTTAGTTCTGTTATTTTGGAAAAATTCACAAATATCAGATCTCATCCCATTAATTTTAATAAAATTTTGCATAACCACCAAAATTTTCTATTCAAGGTAAACAGTTTATAAATCATAAGGACTGATGATAAAACTTGTGTCAAGGACTATACATGAGCAAAAATCAGAAATCAGTATCTACCATTCACTGAAGAGGACGTTTTCTAATAAGAAAATAAAGACTAGTGAAGAGTTGCAAATGTTTGTATTTAATCATTTTTACAGGAAAGTTAAAGATTTAGTTCATGAAAAGCAGTGACTTTTTCCCTTTTTTATTGACTTTATTGGGGTGACACTGCTTAACAAAATTCTATGGGTTTCAGGTGCACAATTCCACAACACGTCATCCATACACTCTGTTGTGTGTTCACAACCCCCTAGTCAAGTCTCCGTAAGCAGTTACCTTTATGACTGCTTTTTTTATTCAAAAGTTTGTAACTTTGGGGGTTCAGTTGTTATTATATGTAATATTTGATTTGTTCATATACATTTCTTGTTATAAATGAACAAAGAACAATATTCACCTAGTAACAATGAAACATTCACTCTTACTCCCTTTTTGTTTCAGGTTATAGTATACATAGTAGTAGTATAAAATTCTGTTGTTGTATATTTGTATTGTGTATGTGCATGTTTTTCTGAATTTTTTTCAGTAAATCAGATCTAATTCCATCAATATTCTGGCTTAAACAAGAGGACAAAGGAACCTCATTGAAAAGGTCTTCTCCCCCCATCCTTCTCCCCAAACACAAATGCACATACACAAATACTAGAAAATAAAATAATTCCTCTTGGCCAAAATAACTTAAAAGGTAATAATTAATTTTCTAAGGGTTTGGGTTTTTTTTTTTTTTTTTTTTGGTGTATCTTAAGAAATATAAGAAATAATACCATGACAACGGACCTTATTTGTTTATATACTCATAGGGGTATATGACCTGTCTCTGAGAAAAAGATACGCGGTAAGAGCCATAAGCAAAGATGCTTGTGATTAGAGGCCATATCATGCTTGTATGCACACACAGATATGTGCAAGAGAAAGCCAGAGTTAAACAAAAATGGGCAGAAAGCTTCAACTAAGTCCTTGGGGAATCTTTTCAGAAGATGGGAATAAGAAAGAAGGCGATTCAGAAGTATCAATCCCCCTGAGAATGAATGGTTAAGGGAGTGTGTAATGGTTTTTAAGGCAGCATTAAGTATTTTTAAACTAAGGCAGCACAAAGAGGCCATCATAGAAAGCAACAGGGAAAATACACTATCTTAGATAAAGAGATGTGATCAAATATTTCCTGCAAATGACAGATATTTAATAGAAATTATTCCTTGGCCCGAGTAATACTGCTGTTGACAGATATTGCAATTAAACTTTTGAGGAAAAAATATTTTTTCTAAGTGGGCACAAAGAAACATAAAACAAGTACTTAATAGAAGTTTATTATTTACCCATCAGAATCATATATTGGCAAATGTCTGCTTACTTAAGTATTTAGAAATATGAGCTGTTATAGTAAATACCATAATATCTCCAATCAAGCAATAGTTTTTATGCTGTTATTTTTTGAATCTCTGCTATATATAAAATTCTTAATTTATCCCTTTCTCTTGTTTTATTTTTGTCTTTTGTCCTTTCTACCTCCCTCCCCCATTGAACACAAGCACATCTCAGAAAAAAAAAACTGGTACTTACAGCATGACTTCCCATTTAAAAAAAAAAAATAGACGCTAAAATCTAAATTTCATAGTAGATTCTTCACTCCATAAATAAGCCTGGAGTGTTGTTGTTTGAACTGTAAATTATAGCATAATCTATATGGAATCCATTTATTTAGGCCTACCCAGACAAAGGGAAGTAGAGTATTCAACTACTTACCCAAGTCTTCACTAGCAGTAAAAATGCAATGGGGCATGGGTTTGGGTAATAATAGGTAGATAGGAACATTTGAGAAGATAAAAATTAATAACTATTGACACTCTTTCCAGTTCTTTTAATTGTATGAATGCAACCTTCTATGAGAGAAAAAGAGAAAGATCAATGGTTCATACTAATCTCATACTACGTGTTCGAATATACTTTAAATACAGTAAAACACCATTATAACCTAGCATATTTCTATAAGAATTTGGATATGTTACAGATCAAATACACCTCCTGTATAAACAATTAATCTATTGGATGAGTGTTCACAGAAGCACCACAAGGCACATACTGTTAGTAGTTTCTCCCTCTGCAGTAATGAGGTTAGTGGGGAAAGCAGAACAAAAATTTTATTTTTGTAGTCACACACATTCTTATGATTAAAATACCTACCATTATTGCAAAGGAGACCTGACTGCCTGGATATATCAGTAAACTTGCAGTTAAAATCCTCCTCCAATCCATTGATAGAGGACAATAATAACTCTATTTTATTCACCTATCATATGGGAAATATAAACTTGTATGTTTGATATTTGGAAACATTTGAAAATCAATATACATTAAATATTTGTGTATAGTAATAGTATTTACTTCAAAATGTAAAAGATGGTGGGGATGTAATTTCTAAGGGTTCCTAAGAACATGGGGAAAAAAATACTGTGATGCCTAATAGGCTGAAGGATATTGTTGTCTGCTATCTAATGTCTTATTTTTCAAAATTGAAACAATATTTCAACATTTTATATCTTTACAGCTAAGAACAGGGATTTAAACTATCCTACTCTAAAAAATAACTTGCATTGTCTACAGTTGGAATTTAAATACATTGATTCTTTTTCTTA